CCACTACAGGGTATCGGATAAGCTCGACGACGCAAGATCAGGAACAAACCGCCACTACTGCGAGGACTAATTGTGCGCATACCGCACGACTTCTCCGCCTCTGTCACTCGATATGACCTTCGCTGTTGGTACAGTCACCGGGTTGGAGCAGGAACTCGACTACAAGCGAAAAGAACCGGGCGATAAAGAAGCGGCCATGGAGACCGACGCCCTGCGAGGGGACGGCGCGCCGCGCAAACGCAAGAGGGCCCGGAAAGTGAACTCGGATCGGAAGTTTGAATGTACACATGAGGGCTGCGGCAAGAGCTATTCGCGTGCCGAGCATCTCTACCGCCACCAACTGAACCGTATGTTGGGCGTCTTCCAACCGCAAGCCTGTTTCGGTGGATGCGGATGACTGATTTGACTTAATCTAGACGCTCCCAAGCAGATTTATCGATGCGACTTTCCGGACTGCTACCGGACCTTTGTACGACAAGATCTCTGCGTTCGCCACCGTGAACGGCACACGACACAAGGCTCTCAGCTTCAGAAACGGGACCATTTCGCGCAAGCGGCTTCGCAGAATAAACAAGGAGGCCAGTTGCCTCATAATGTGGTCGATAATACTGTTCCGCAGATAGGCAGCACCCAGCAGCCGCCGCTCTTGCCTGCGACTACCATTGATCTGACATCGGCGCGCTCCGCAACCACCTTCCCTGAAGGCGGCGTGGAGACTCTGACACCTCAGTCGGTCAATGGTTCCAGCAAGCATATATCGGTCTCATCGTCGGGGTCGATGTCGCTCGGCCGACCCCTCAACTACCAACCGTTGGTTGCTCAGCATGGTGTGGGGACACCAGACTCGACTGCATCGAGGTCTAACAGCTTGAGCAATCATAGCATTAATTCTCCTCCTGGTCAAGCAAATGCTCCCTTCAGCCCTTCAGACCTGCAAAAGCCAGCGTATGTGCCGCTCACCGGCCGCCACTCCATATATTCGTCGGGCAGCCCTAGTGATCAGACATGTCAACTAACCGGACTGCATCCCGTTTCTAGGACAAGACCTCAAGACGCTGCAGTATACTCCATGTCAACCGACGTCAACCGCTCTTCAGTAGTTCAGTCGTTGCCGTATGGCTCTCCGACAGGCCTGCAAATGCCTGTCGGTGGATTTTCCGATCTTTCGATGAATACCGTGCCGCCCTCCACCCAGGCGTCCCTAGACAGAACAACCAGCATTACTGGACTAGAATCCCTATCGGGGATGATTGCTTCCGCAGATCCCTCATACGACCCGATGGCCTCTTGCGTCTATCCGATCTTCGGCGGCGAAACATACAACAACCGCTCCCCTTTTGCGATGGCTGATGACTTCACCGCGTGGCTGTTCAATGAACCTCTTCCGGGATCGTCGTCCCTGGCCTATCCTCCCGCGTCGTCGATGATGCCGAACTATCTGGATCCAACACAGCTGCAGAATCAGTTCCTCATCGGCGAGCCAGCGTTCGGCAGTTTCCTGAACGGCGTTCTTCCGCAACATCCAATGAGTGTCACCAGTATCTTAGATCCAGGTTCGSCCCAGGCGATCATGTCGGAGGAGAAGCGACAGGAGTTGCTGCATCTCATGGCCACTCGATTCAACGAAGCCGCCTATTCAGCGGTGGCAAAGCGCAAGGATGCTCTGATGGATGGAGACGTCGACGATGACAGCCATGTTCTGAGCTTGCGCATGATGCAGACATATATCGGTTCCTACTGGTACCACTTTCACTCGCAGCTCCCCATTCTGCACCAACCTACTTTTGTCGCAGATAAGGCGCCAAATCTACTTCTCTTGGCCGTCATGGCCATTGGAGCAGCCACCCTGGACAACATCCATGGACAAGAGGTGACCGAGACAGCTGCGGAACTGGCCAACTTCATAGGGTGGCATCTGCGATGGGAGATCTTCATGGACGCTGATTTCCGACCGCCCGCCAAGCTCTGGGTCTTTCAGGCTTTACTCCTGCTCGAGGTCTTTGAAAAGATGTATTCGACTCGCGCATTGCACGAGCGCGCGCATATTCATCACGACACCACCCTGACGCTGATGCGTCGTGGCAGCTCGTTGATCGGCCGCTCTGCGCTCGACTCACCCGCAAGCTTCAGGGATGACCGGCAGACCCGGTCCACGACAGGATCTGCTTCGAATTCGGAATTCGCTGCTGACGATTCCTGGACACACTGGATTAAGGCGGAGGCCACCAGACGGGTTGCATTTGCGGCCTTTGTGCTAGACTCAACTCATGCCACTATGTTCGGACATTCGGCGAAGATGGTGGCCCATGAGCTCCGGCTCCCGCTGCCCTGCGACGAAGCCTTGTGGTCGGCCACCAGTGCCGCCGAAGTGGCACGCGTTCAATCCAGCCTGCATGCAAACGGTGTCAAGCCGACTATGTTTCTCGACGGGCTCAAAAAGACGCTCAACGGACAGCGCGTTACCACCAATGCGTTCGGGCGCACTATCTTGATGGCCGGCCTGCTTAGTGTCAGCTGGCACATGAATCAGCGCGACCTCCAAGTCAGCTCGCTGGGCGTCCCACAGGCCCTCGGTGGCCGAGACAAATGGCGATCAGCCCTTTTGCGAGCTTTTGACAACTGGCGGCGCGATTTCGACGAGGCCCTGGCCCAGGCAGGCCCTCCTCCGTTCCCTAATCAATACCGGCGGCATTCTCTCGAAGATGAGGGTGTCTCCGAGTCCCGCGACGTCCTGCATGGACTGGCTCACATGGCCTCGCACGTCGACATTGTGGACTGTCAAATATTCGCAGGAGCGGGCCGACTCATGGGGCGATCGATCACTCCACGGGACTATAGCGCTGCCCGTGAGAAGATGACCGAACGATGGGCCACCAAGGCCTCAGCGCGAKACGCGACGTTTTACGCCCTCAAGTTTCTCTCCGAATGTCTTTTGAATAACCGGAGTGTATCCGAAGAAAGCGGAACCTACTCCGGACGCGATGACTATCTGCTCAACCGGCCCTGGGTCATCTATGTTGCAGTGCTGGTCGTCTGGTGCTATGGATATGCGCTCGACGGGGCGATCGCATCGCCTCCGGCGCTGGAAACGGTAGCTGAACAGCGACGCGACATGGAAGCCTTTCTCCGCCGGGTGGGCGGGGTGCGTGAGCCCAACCAGTTGGCGACGATGAAAGGTCGCAACCAGTGTCTCGGCTTGTTGATGATCCTGCGAGATGCCTTTGCGAACACACGGTGGGAGCTGCTCTCTGAAGCATCAAACCTGCTGCAAAGCTGCATCAACAAGTTGCGGAACGAGACGCGGCGGTCGAGTTGAAGACCCTTGACCTTTAGGAATTGTTCGATATATGGCTTATCAACTTATGTTTTGGAGGACGGTCTGCCATGTTATGATTTGATTTATTGTTTGCATGATGTGATACCACGGGTTGGCGATTGTTTTGTATACTGTTGATAGGGATGTCTAGTACGGAGTACATGAACCTTTCTCTACTATATTCGACTTGACTTGTAACCAGTACATTCCGATTCCAGGCCTGCATGCATTTAGTGCCAGAAATAAGCTATGTCATCTCATCTGGATCGCCGGGGTCAGCCATCCACCCTTGCGGGTTACCACAACAACGACCCGCATAAACACCGCCAAACCCACACCGGGCCAACTTCTAATCTTCACTCCTCCTCGCATGATAATCTTCTCAATCCATTATCTACGGTCACCTTCTACGTGTTTGTAAGAGTCTATCATTGTTTACCATCTTGACAATACATTTTGTTCCAGCCATTGACTCTACCTTTCTTTGTTGCAGCATACCGAATTAACCCCTGAAACGACAACATTAGCCATGGTACGTCTAGAATCCTCCATATCAGCACAGAACATACGGAGGAATGTCGCATGTGGATAGCCTCACGAGGAGATCGGAAGTGAGACTGAAACTGCATGCAATGCCTCCTGTTGCTACTTCCTCCCTTGCGTCGCGTCGTCTTCTGTTTGGTGTTTTCCCGTTGCGTTGTTGCCATTCTCGGATCGCCGCCGTCTCCCCTCCATCTTCACGCCTGTACCAACCACTCGGTAGTTCTGGTTCCCGTTCTGGTTCCGAACAACTGAACTTCCCTCCATCATTTCATTCTCCATCCCTAACTTCTCATCCCTCATTGCTGTCTATCTACTGGAAAAAATACTGCTTTAAAATGCCTCGCTCACCTGATTCTCACAACGAGCAGGCCTCCACCAACTACAAGGAAGCGTTCTCGCTTTTCGACAAGCGCGGCACGGGAAAGGTATCGCTCGAGTCGCTCGGTGACCTGCTGCGCGCATGCGGCCAGAACCCTACCCTCGCGGAGATTGCAGATCTGGAGAAGAGTATCGGCGGCGACTGTAAGCTCAGCTTTCTGTGACCCTGTTTCTGGCTTTGTGGTATGGCAAGCTGACAATACTGCTAGTTGACTTCGAATCGTTCCTGAAAGTGCTGAACCGTCCTGGTGGATTCCGCGAGCCCGGCGAGCCCGAGGACTATTGTCGGGGATTCCAGGTGTTTGATAAGGATATGACTGGGTTTATTGGGGTGGGGCAGTTGCGCTATAGTATGTTGCTCCGCTGCCCGTTCAGCTGGCTGTGGGATAGGGTGCTGACTGATGCAGTTCTCACGAATCTGGGCGAGAAGATGTCGGACGAGGAGGTCGATGAGCTGCTGAAGGCCGTTGATACCAGCTCTGGCGAGATCAACTACACCGGTATGTTTTCTTGTCGATTTACTACGAATGGCCGACGCTAACTGATATTGCAGAACTCGTCCGCACGATCCTGGCCAACTGAACGATTACGATAACCCCCTTGACGCTTCCATGATGGTTTTACGATGTGCGCTGCGCGTCCGTCCACGCAGTCGGTGACTTGACTTGTCTCCTCGGCTTTGAACAATTAGTTTACATTCAGATAATATGAATTTTGTACTGTATCTTGTGTTCCGTAGACGAGGATGGAGACCCGTAGGATACTATTGAGAAATCCACTCGCTCCATTCCCGATCCATCGCCCGCATCTTCTCCTCGTCGCCCATAATCTCCGTCTCCATCAACGCCCCAGGAAGTAAATATACAGCCCGCGGCTCTTGATCCGTCTCTTCCCCTTCGACTGTATCCTCGCCCTTCCCAGGTGCAACAGGAAAATGCACCGCATCCAGGAAATACCCCACCACAACCCGACACCGCCCACACCGCAGGAACCGCCTCTTCTCGAACCCGTCTTCCCGACGGACCAGCGTCGCCTTGCGATCGGGTAGAGTTGTGGCTAGGAGGATGGTATAGTGTTTCTGCTTGCGCCTTTTCCTCGCCCCCTGTTCTTCACCTTCGCCTTCAGTTTTTTCGGCCCGGTTGGGTTCGGCTGCGTCTGGCTCTGCGTCGTCATCTTCGTCCTCGTCAGCGCGCGGAAGTGGGAGAATCAGCGCGTTATCCTGCGCTGGGGCTTTTCGGCGGGGGAGCGTCGCGACTGTGCGCGTTGTGGCTAGAAGGAGGTGGTTGCAGAAGCGGCAGTGGTGGGTGTGGACTTTTAGGCGCTGCTGCTGTTGTTCTTGTTGTTGGTGTTGGTGGTGGTTGTCGTCTTGTTGTGAAGGCTGGGGCGAGCGGGATGGAGAGGCGGAGGGGTTTGTAGTGGACATTTTTATTTCTTTGGTGAGTGTGAGTGTGAGTGTGAGTCTTGTGGGTGGTTATTTGGGGTTGGAAGTGGTAAATGGGGAGAATTTATGTGAAGCGGTGATGTAGCGAGTTGGGGTGGTGCTCTTATCGATAAGATAGCTAGCTACGCATAACTCTACGCCGGGACCGAGTTACAATGGTAAATACAGGTATGAAGCGGAGCGATTCTTTGATTGTGTTAAGCTTCTAATCTACTGTAGTAGACGAACTAAGCCAGCCCCAATTCCTTGTAAAAGGCGTCCGTCTTGGGCTCGCGGCCGAGGAAGTCGGTCAACGTCTTCATCTCGTCCTGGCTGCCGCCCTTCTCGAGGACGCCGTAGCGGTATCTGCGACCGGCGGCTGGGTTCATCGGGTCGTCCTTGAAGATGGTGTAGAACATGTCGGTCGAGTAGACTTGGGAGCTGCAGACGATTAGATGATTGCGAGTACTCAAAGAGGAAAGAAGGTTACCTGAGATATCCGTAGTATCCGGCATCATAACCCCCAATCAAGTGACCAAAGGTTGCTTCGCCGTGGCCCCATTCATCGCCCAATCCTAGAACCTCCGGGCCGTCCTGCAGCGCGATCTGCTTACGCAGCTGGTTGTATGTGGCGGAGATGGGCAGCTTCTGGATCTGCTCGTGGTTCTCGGCTTCGTGCACCGTCATGTCGAAAATGCCAAAGTGCAGCTGGCGGAGGTTGAACAGCGCGTCGTTAACGTGCTTGGTCCGGATCAGGTTCTCGATGACTTCGTCGGGAATGCGCTCGGGCGGCTGGGACTTGCCCTTGGCCTGTTCTTTCCATGCGGCAAGGTACTCCGGCGACAGGGTCGAGTAGTGCTTGCTCAGGGACTTGAGCTGGGACGGTGTCCAGCACCAGTTCTCCAGCATCTGACTGGGGGCTTCCACAAAGTCCCGGACAGTGCTGGTTCCGTGGAAGCGCGAGTAGATCGTCTTGGAGACGAGGTCGTGGATCCCGTGTCCGAGCTCATGGAACAGAGTCACCACCTCGTCGTGCTTGAGGAGACTAGGTTTCTTGGCCGTGGGCTTGGTGAAGTTGCACACCAATGCAGTGGCCGGGTAGCGCCGCTTGCCGTCAGCGTCGATGAAGCCCTAGAATTGTTAGTCAAGGGATGATAACCTCATGTAATTCACATACCGGCTGGAGATTGAAGTTGGCCGCGTGGCCATACTTGCCAGGGCGGGGGAACAGATCCAAGTAGAGGTAGCCCACGAACCCACTGCCCTCGCCCTCGTCGTTCCAGACGCTGAAGATCTGGACATCTTCATGCCAGACGATGTCGCTTCCCTTGCCGGAGGGCGCAACCTTTTCACGATCCTCGCCGGTAATCTCAACAAAGACAAGGCMAAACAGCTCTTCGAAGATCTTCAGCATACCCTCGATGGTCGTCTGCAGGGGAAAGTACTCGGCGATCAGTTGCTGATCCAGCGAGTAATCCTTCTCAAGCATGAGGCGGTCGTAGAACCGGTGATCCCACAAATAGTAGCGACCATCAAAGGATTGGCCGCGAGACTCGAGATCCGCTTTCTTGAGCTCCAGTAAAGCCTTGATCTCCTTGTGTCCTCCGGCTGTCAGACGCGACCGCAAGTCTCCCAGGAAGTCATCAACCGTCTTTGGGGTCTTCGCCATCTTGTCTTCAATACGGAACGCCGCATGGTTGGGGTATCCCAGCAACCGAGCGGCTTCGTCACGCAGGATGATGGCTTCCCGGAACAGAGGCACGTTCTGGTTGCACTTGTTCTCGTTCTCGATCATCAGCCGCTTGCGAGTCTCCGCATTCTTCGCATACTTCATGGTCGGGAACAGATCGGGATACTTGAAGGTCAGCCAGAGCTTGCCTTCATGCTCGCCCTCGCCCTTCTTCAAGCCGGATAGAACGTCTTCCGGCACGCCGTCGAGCTCTTCGGGGGTGAACCAGATTCCACCGTTCTCCTCGTTCAGGTTCTTCTGGAATTCAATGCTAATCTGGCTCAGACGCTTCTTGATTTCCTTGAAGCGATCCCGCTTCGGTCCGGCCGGAAGGCCCAGCCCGTTGCGGATGTAGTCCTTGTGTTCCTTCTCCAGCAATCTCCGGGACTCGGGGTCGAGGCTCTCGTTCTTCTTCAGCACAGCATCGACGAGCTTGAATACGTCTTCACGCATCACAGTCTCAATGAAGAACTCGTCCATCAATGCCTCTGCCTTGGACGACGCATCCCGGAGCTGCTGCTCCGTCGACACGGCCTGGTAGAAGCTCAAAATGTGGGATTCCAGCGCCATGGTATTCTCATCTTGGGCCAGAGGCTTCAGCACCGCGTCGAAAGTCGCTGATTCGGGCTTGACGTTCGCAACGACATTGTCCTGCACTTTGCGGGATGTCTCAATGAGGCGCTTGGCGTCATCGACGATGGACTGAGCAGTCGCGGTAAAGAGGGGCGGGGCCTGCGGAGGCCGACGCAGATGTTCGGGAGCCATGCTGGCGGTGGTAAGGGACTTGCGAAGATCGGTCAATGCGGAATTGTAAACGGTGGTAGTGGTAGGTAATCGAGAGCCACGAAGCTGGCTCAAGACCGAAGAGAGTCTGAAAGTGGGGGAGGTAAGGCGGAGAGGAGGAGCCACGGTGACAAGAAGGACGCCCACGAGGAGGACGAGGACGTGCAGATATAAAGCGCGAGAGAAGAGTGGACTAATGGTGACGGTAGAGAGGGGCAAATCGTTAGGACAAGGCGGGGTAGACCTCTAGCTTGGGTGACAGATTATTATAAATAATGAAATGGCGCAACAATAGACACGATCTCAATAGACAAATAATTAAAGCTTTGTTCCGAGGGAGTGCTCTCTAACTCCGTACTCCTGGCTGACAGTTCATTACTTGATTGGGTTTAGTATTCCTATTTAGGTGTAGTATCATCATTTTGTATACTCAATATAATCTCCTCTACTCCACGTAGACTCTACAGTGACCTAGTACTACCTTACAATGTCTTCTTCTACTCTTTCCCAGCTGCTGAATGATTAATCGGTAAGATATTTCTACTATTAGCCAATCTCTTCAAACTCTGCTTTACTGTTGGCAGGGGTAGAGCGCTGGGCTGCAATTCCCCACTCGGGCCACAGACCACTATGATTTATCAAATCATGTGATCAATTCAAGCCTACCGTCCGTCCATCACTAAGGTATTGATTGCCCTTTTTTACAGGCACACGGTCCGGTCACACCAGTCGTTCCAGCGCTCTGCAGTTTATATCACGTGATCCCCGTCACCCTCCGCCTTTTTGGTCAATTCTAGCCCGTATCAAAAGTACCATCTAGTTACTACTCAGATAGATACTATATCTTACATAGCCTAGGATATAGAAGATAAGCTTATCGTGAGATTGTGAAAAGCATGGAGAGAACAGGCAGCCAATGAGAGGCACGACTGGTACATCTTGGCGACGAATTAACGTAACTTAAGTAATAGCGCCTTTACAAATTAAGGGTTTCTTGGCGCCTCTTACATGCAAATTGAACCCTTGAGTACTTCAGTGTAGGATGATGAGCTGGGTCCAGGTCTTTATAACCCAGAGTCTGACATGAACTACGAAGGGCCTAATACTATCTTAGGCTTTTGTGGTTCAAGGTAGGTTGGCAAATTTATAATTGCTTAATCTGGGTATTATATGTTGTCATATTAGACGACTCAGCTTCTACTTTTAGACAGTGGGACACTGTCATTAAAGTTATATAACAGTGCAGACCTAAGGTATAGAACAGAATATCACGGCCCGTGTACCGGGAGGTAGATGTGATTGGAGGTCAAGTCTGGATATGGTGCTTATTAGCTGTGTCTAGCTTTGACTGGCTAAACATGTTGATCATCCAAGAAGCATATAACCCTCCTTCCCATCCGCCCCGGGAAGCTGAAATAAAGTCATCTGTCAAGGCCGCACGCACATATTTACACCATTTTCCCGCATAGCCCCGCAGTCTAAGCAATATGGAGGACTACCGCGCGGAGACCAATCGACGCCGAGAACCTCGTTCGGTTGATCCAAACCGTCAGCCTCTCTAGTAAGGGAAGGACCTTCCCGATCTGTCGGGTGCCGTCTGCACAATCGCATCTCCTGACTTATGCCCTTGACGCGGGTAAGCCTGGTTTCGAACTACCAGTTTTGAACCTTAACTGCTCACGTAACTGGCGTTTGAACAGGAGCCGGCGGCATAATCTTCCCACACATTGATACACCCGAGCAAGCCGCCGAAACCGTCAGCAAGTGTCGGTATGCTTACTCAGACGGTGACCGGTCCCTGGCTCCAGCAGTGTTAGTCCCTAGAGTTACAGATGTGGCGCCACCGGGGTCCTCCCATGAGCGTGTAGCGGACGAGAACATCGCAGTGATCATTCAGATCGAGAGCCCCGTAAGTTTAATGTTCAGATTTGCTAGACTTGCGATGAGCTGACGACGGGATGTCTCAGCTTGCCCTTGACAATGCGGACACCATAGCAGCAGTCCCTGGTGTCAACGCCCTAATGCCAGGAGCTGGCGATCTTCGGGTGGGCATGCGCTGTCCTCCGCGCCAGGTGGGCGACGCTGAAGATCCAAAGATATTAGACGCAATAGAGCGGTTGGCGAATGTGTCGAGACGGCATCAGAAGCCTTTGGCTGGGGTCACATTCAAGTTGTCTGGGAAAGCGAAAAGTTGGCTCAAGGACTTTCAGCTATTGATCATAACATCGGATTACTGGAGCCTGGTGAAGGGGCACAAGGAGGATTTAGCCTGTATGAGGCAGACACTGGCGGAGGTGCAAGGGGTAAAAAACTGATCGCTCAGGCTGCCAGTCCTGGAGTGAGGCCCGCTAGCATCCACATGTCCAAATACACAACATATTTAAGTGTGGATATATGGATGCATCATGCATGTAATGCCGTTTCCCTATGCAGTGTATCATCTGTAGTGGGTCCCACACATTCATTCAATTATTTAGGTCTGTGACGGTCACTACCAGGTGTCCTAGTGCTGTATTTTTCATAATTCAGCAGGGTGCCTGAAAGAGTTGGATATCCCCACTGATGGATCTCATAATGTACAGACAATAGTCCCATTAACCTAGAATGTCAAAATGTCAAAATGTCAAAATGTCAGGCTGAGATTTCTGAGATGACAAAATTCCTGATAAATGACTGGTACCTCTCTAAATGACTCGGACCTCTCTAAAGCGACAAAATGACCAACAGAATGTCTGCCAAATATTTGTCTGGCAAAAGGTGGATAGACTAAAGTTTCGGCCCATCTGTGGCTGACGGCTAAGCTGCCACTGCTGACCCACAAAAGAACATAAGAGTCAGCTCGGAGGGCGTGGATTCTGTCCTAGTTTGATCCATCAATCTGATCCAAGATTAGTAATGATATGACAGCTGCTTACGGCTGCTAAAAGAGGTGAGAATCAATTCTCCCTGGAGTAGACTAAATGAATCTAAAAATTGTTGCTGGCCTTTGTTCACTTTTCAAGTCCTCCTCCATTCCCCCGCCTGCAAACCAAAGAGAAAGTTTTGCTTGCCCTCCTTTGCTTTCTCTTTGACATTGCCTAATTGACGATGGCTGAAGTATCTCATTCACCCTTTACGTCAAGCGAGACGGAAAAGGGTGTTCAGACTCCTGACGCGACAGATGCTGCTCAAATGTCGGCTGATAATACCGCACAGCAACTCCCACCCATCGATCGTGGAAAGGATGCCTGGCTTTTCCTTGCAGCATGCTTCGTCATGGAAGCTCTCGTCTGGGGCTTTGCCTTCACCTATGGAGTCTTCCAAGCCTACTACAGCAAGAGACCGGAGTTCAAAAACTCCGGCAACCTCGCCGTAATCGGGACCTGTGCTATGGTAAGGATCTGATAGCATATGCGCAGTAGAACTCAGTAAAGCTAACCAAACACCCTGGGCTCAAGGGAATCATGTATCTGGACCTTCCGATCGTTTTCGCCGCCTATAGACGGTGGCCCAAGTATCAGCGACTCGGGTGCGGCGCTGGCGTCCTGATGATGTGTCTTGCTTTAGCTCTGAGTTCCTTCTCGACCAATGTGACCCACCTTATCATCAGCCAGGGCATCTTCTATGCCCTAGGCGGCAGCGTGGCGTACTCACCATGCATCCTGCTGATGGAAGATTGGTTCGAGAAACGCAAAGGGCTCGCGTTTGGCGTTATGTGGGCGGGCACGGGGCTAGGTGGCGTAGTCCTCCCGATCGTGATGGAGCAGTTGCTGGACCGATATGGCTTCCGCATCGCCCTACGAGCCTTTGCCGTCGCCCTCTTCCTCCTCACAGCTCCACTGGTGTATTTCGTGAAGCCCCGTGTGCCAGTCTCCCAGCGTCCCAAGGCGCCAACCCCTGACTTGCGCTTCCTCATCACATCCACCTTTGCCCTCTTTGAGATCTGCAACATCGTCGAGGCTCTGGGGTTCTTCTTGCCATCGGTTTACCTCCCCACCTACGCGGGGGTAATTGGTGCATCGACCAGCTTGCAAGCGCTAACAGTCATCCTCTTCAACATCGCCTCGGTAGTCGGCTGCGTGGTAATGGGGGCCATCATCGACAAATGGGACGTGACGACCTGCATCCTAGTCTCCACCGTTGGGTCAACCATCGGCGTCTTCCTCATCTGGGGGTTCTCCATGTCGCTGGCCCCGCTCTTCGTCTTCTCGATCGTCTACGGCCTCTTCGCAGGCTCATACACCAGTACCTGGCCGGGGATTATGCGCGACGTCGTCCGCAAGAAGAGCTCCGCGGAGTCCAGCATGGTCTTCGCCTGCCTGGCTGCGGGCCGGGGCATCGGGAATCTTGTTTCGGGGCCGCTCAGCGAAGCACTCATCAAAAGCACGCCGTGGAAGGGCCAAGCGGGCTATGGCTATGGGAGTGGGTATGGCAGTCTGATCGTCTTCACGGGTATCACGGGGGTGATTGGGGGAGGGAGCTACGTGGCTCGCTGTTTCAGGTGGATATGATGTACTGTTACACTACACAACCACACATCATCTACTGCTTCCTGAACCATAGAAAAGGGCCAATCTCGGCAGCTTGCATACCCTACTCAATACCTAAACAAAGCAGATCTCGAGTAGTCACTTGATATTCCCAGAGGAAAAAACATAATGCATGCATCATCTTGAATGCACATCTGGTTCTGAATATAAGATAGGCACAATATCCTTAAACTAGGACCTTACCTCCAGTCTGTTCTCTGTAGGTAACTGATTACTACCAGTGTACCGACTGTCACAAACTCTACCATTGAATCCAATCCCTCAGAGCATTTCTGCCAAACCATCTTACCTCGTAACCACTTACTAAATCTGATTTTCAGAGTAAACAGACTACAATAATTTAGTACCAAGTTAATAACTTACCACCAATTGAGGCACGCCGATATCAAACCAGTCTACCGCGTAAACCCTATATTCGTACAACCATAAAAAAGACCATGATATGGAAGAGATTCAGACGCTATAGCTTGCTGTTGTAGCAGTTAAAGTCTTATGTTAATTAGTATGCTGCTTAGCTCGGCTGTAGCAGACTAACCAAGATGAGATAGTGTGTTTCATGGAGCTTCAGTCAACCTTGTGACCCCAGAATTGCTCCTTGGTTTGCCTTAAATCTCCTAGCACTCCAATTGCTTCTATGGTTTCTATATCGAATCCCGATGCTAGCCATTATGTTCATCAAACAGAATCTTTCATGGTAGGTTAATATACAGTTCTGCACTGATCTGGTCCATGTTCTACTCATTTTTATTGGAAAAAGAGAGGGAAAAAAGGATTGGAATCATGTCTTTTAATATTCGTTTCAAACAGGTCTGTGTATCTCGCATTTTAAAATGACTTCAGACGAACAGATAATCGTTCGACGGATCCATGAATGTGCCGAAGCATGTGACGAGCAACCCAACTCCAGCAACTCCAAACGTACCGGAAGGAAAATTTTCAGAACGCCCACAATGTGCTAGAATTTGAACATCACGATGTGAGATGAGAAAACAGGGGAGAATACGCTCGAAACTCAGCGGCGGTCATAAAATAAATACAGGAAAATGAGATATAGTGGTAAGGAAATGTTCACGCCGCGTCAGCGGTGGGAATGGGCTCGGGGATCTTGGTGACCTGCTCACCAGCGCGGATAATGCGCTGACCAGATTCGTCGCGGACATATTCGCTGCTCTCTTTCTGAGCACGCTTCCAGATCTCAACTTCACAGCCGCCGCGGATAACGCCGACACGCATGGTAGACAGCAGGTTGTGGGCGGCATTCGAGTGGTAGTAGACGCCACCGTTGAACATGGCAGTAGCATCCTTGCCAATACCGGAGTTGATCATAGCCTTGCCACCAGGGTGGTCCTTGATAAAATCGGTCACATCGTGGACAACACCAGCAATAGCGATCAGTCCGCGGCCGTTCTTGGCCTGCTCAACATAGTCATCCCACTCCATGACGGGAAGCTGGTCCAGAGGGACACCCCAATCCAACTTGGCACGCTTCTGGTCGATCTTCTTCTGGAGCTGCTGAATACGACCCTTCTCAATTTCGTTGGCACGGAACTGCTTCAGATCATAGGCCAGACCAAGCTGCTTCCAAATCCAGATGGTCCACTTGGTGGGATCATACTGGTGCCACTCAATGGCGTTGCGGTAGTCCGAGGGGAATTCGTGGTGGAAGTTGTGGTAACCCTCGCCAAGGGTGACCAGAGCAGTGATAACGTGATCCCTGGGGGAGTTGCGGTCGTCGAAGGGCTGGTCGCCGAGCCAGTGGGCCAGAGAGTTGACGCAGAAAGTGGCTTGCTGAACGAAGAAGATACGCAGGATACCGGCATAGATGAAGCCGCCAAACCAGTCACCCCAGCCGAGACCGGCCACGAGCATGGGCACGACGAGCCCCATCACCAGGACCACCTTCAGGTAGTTGCGGTGTTGCCACACGACGACGGGGTCTTCGTTCAAATCGGTGATGTCGGTACGGCCGATACGCTTGGGGTTCTGCTTCATAATCATCCAGCCAAGGTGCGAGTAAAGGAGACCCTTGCGGACAGAGTAGGGGTCCTTGTCGGTGTCGGTATAGCGGTGGTGAGCGCGGTGGTCCCGAGCCCACCAGCGGATAGAGCCTTCGACTGCACCACCACCAACGGCTGCGAGCCAGATACGCAGAGGCAGACGAGCAGAGTAGGAGCAGTGGGCCCAAAGACGATGGTACCCTGCACATCAGGCATTAGTATTTCTAGGGATTCCCCAGGATATGTGTCTGTGGCAACTAACCTGCTGTGATACCGAGACCGGTGAAGAAGTAGTAGACAACGGCCCAGATGGCGGTCTTGAGCTGCAGAGGCACCCAGAAAGCCTGGATGCAGCCGTACAAGGGGATACCAATGATGAGGACGACGTTCAACCAGTTGACATGCTTGTACCAGTTCTGACGAGAGATGGCCGTGTCGGCAATATGGACCTTCTTGGGGTCACCAGCCCGCGGGCGAGAAGCGTCTGCAGTCTTCGCAGACATGTTGCCGATCTTTTTTTTGGGCTTCTCTTCCAAGTCCTCTAATTACGGGTCGGAGGTGTATCTGCGAGGAAAGAATGTCCGCACTTAATGGTTGCCAAAACCGAGGGGGAGTAGGGCAGATTGATGGGGGAGGAGCAAGGCCCTTTAAAAAGAAGACGCGGGAACGAAAGAATTAAAAGGCAAAGAAGACTGAAGAAGGTGGGGAAGAAAGAAGCGTGAAGGCGAAAAAAAGTAGTGAGCAGACGGGAAAGACAGGGCAAGGAGAACTTGACCGTTCAACTACAATCACCCCAGGGTCCACAAGCCGATGATGGTTGGGGCAACGAACGGATTGGATTCGGACAATGCAGGGCGGAGAGATGCTGCTATGATGAAAGCAGACGGAATGGGGATGGAAGGAGAAGGATAACAGGTGGACTGACAATGATCAGATGCCTGTTGATCATGAGATTCCGAGGTCAAACGGAGGACAGTCTCACTATCAAACTACAGCTTCTGTCAATTTTGATGCCTCCAGCTGTCAAATCTGCCACCAACCATACAAAACCTGGGTATAGAACGATGACCACTATCAGGGCTATAAGCTAAGGTTGTTGGGCGGGCGATCTGATGGCGAATCGACGGCTAGAATCTTCCGCTTTCGGACTAGGGGCCATCAAATCCACCAATCAGAGCCGATTCGCCTTCTGTTGAATCCCCAACACTTTTCCAAGGTACCGTACCTAGTGCCCTTGCAGGTCCCTACATAAACATTTCTTACAATTGTGGCTGAAGTTCCCTTTTTGGCCACTCACTGTCTGTGTGGCGGCTGCTTATTCCGATCAAATAGAGTAGATATGAGTGATTTTCCGTATCTAACGGCTCAATTCTCCGCGATACATCGGAATGATGAATGGTCAGGACTTCAGGCTGCACTTTATTCAAAACTTCCCAAGGCCACAGAGTACCAGGAGTAAAAAGCCTAGGCATTCACATGAGTGCTGGGCAGAAATTTAGAGTTGTTCGTGCCAAGGCCTTTGTGCCTCAGGCAGTAAGCAGCTTCCCGTGCAATTGACTTTCATGAGATCATAACTACGTAGGGATGATAAAAAATTATATTATGCTTGCTATATTTATAGACTGCTTTATGATGGCTGCGCCAATGGTACTGCAGCGCCTTATCCGAGTCATGATTCAATAGATCTTTAATTGATGTATGTGAAGGTGCGTACATTTATCCACTCCTTAACTGCACAGGGTCATTTGTCGACCGAGGTACCAATAGCCATACGAGGAAGGAGTTGCGGATTTGAGCTTCTTTGGGCGAATTTGCCTTATCTCTGTTGTCCCTGGACATAGACTTCCAGTGCGTCTGAATGCATTCGAACTTTAGACGCCTGGAAAACGTCAGCAAGACGCAGGACTCATCACTCATATCGTCACTCCTACGTTCTCGTATCCTATAGAGCGTGTGCGGCCCTCGAATCAGCTGCAGTTTGAAGGGTACGTGGTAAATCTGTGTGTAATAAGCGCTTATAGAATGCATCCAATACTTAGACTTGAGACCCACCGATTTGCTCCTTCGCTTCCCTATACCGCAAGGTTGGCGAAGGTGATCGGATTCTGTCTGGCTTGCCGTGTGAACTTCCAGATTCGAATGCTTCATGGCAAAGAGGCATCATATTGGTCCTTGTCCTTGACTCTGTGTTTAATAAACTGAAAGGCATTGAATGTCCTGTAAGGCATAGTGATTTGCCAGAAAGCTGGATCCTCGTGAGCTTTAGAGAACGTCGGTTGGACATGGTCGTAAAATATCTTGAATGACGCCGTGGGACTACTCAGGGCTAGACAGAATCAAAACGTCCCTCTCTCCCATCCCCCTGCAAGGTGGGGTGGAGGCGGAATGGCAGCTTGATTTTCATTTCCGCCTCTGATAGCTTCCATGAACTCTTTGTGAAGCACTTGGTAGTCATCCATGCTGATCAAATCAATAGCCTGGTTCGTCAACCGGTATGGAGGTTGAATCATTTCCACCAGATAAGAGCATGTCCACTCCAGATCATTAAGACATTGGATGTTCCAATCGTCGTCAACAAAGATGTTGGTCTGGTTGAGATCAGTGAAGTTAAGAAAGAATGGGCCTTGAAAGTCATTTCAGCGAAAAAAGCAAGGCCAGAGGCTTCTCATAAGCATCAGTGCAGATGTCTGATAGAAACCATCTTCCAGACTGTTGATCGCATTAGGCATTACCTGCGCGACAGTTCTCGCCAATTCGGTAAGGCAAGGGAAATCGGATCATCAACTGTCTCCAAGCATCTTGTCCTCGGTCAGCAACATCAATTTGAACACAAACATTGAAGCTTCCGTGTATCCAGCCTCCACATCAACAACATGGCAAATGTCTGCAGAAGCAAGGCCGAGATGGTGGGCCGCAATTGTCGCGATCAGTCCGCGATTCCGGTACAAGTGGGCAAAAATTGAA